CTGGCACAGCAGCAGTCAGTGGTGGCGTCACTTCATTCAGGCCACGATAGTCTACTGTTAACCTCCACCCTCCGTCAGACTTTTGCACCGGCCATATTGAGCTATTAAATGGTGAATGTGTCTTACTGATGACACCTTGGCTCTCCAGCTGACGAATCAGTTCTTGGATTGGAGCCAGAGAGTCTCGGTTTGTACGATACTGTTGTCGGTACACGGTCCTCATAGCAATTGGCACCTGTTGTTCTTCAACTTGCAACAGTCCCACAACAAAAGGATCTTCTGAGAGGCCAAGCAGATTAGACAACTGTTTTACCTTTTCTGTATTCACACTGGCCACACCAAAAGCCCATCGGTGTTCTTTTGGGTCTTTGAAGTATCCCCTCTTGAGATAGTCAATGCCCAAGATACAAGGGGCTTCTGGGCCAGTTACAATGGGATGTTTTTCCCACTTGTCCCCAGTCAAGCTAAGCTCGGCCTCCAATACTGATAGTTCTTGACAGCCCCTGTCAATCCTGAGATCCAGATAGGTTCTGCCCCTCTATAACTTGATGGCATTAGTGTACACTGTGCCCCGGTGTCAATTAAAGCCTGATACTTCTGTGGATTTGATGTGCCAGGCCATCGAATCCACACTGTCCAATACACCCAATCATCCCTTTCCTCCTCCTGGCTGGAGGCAGGGGCCCTCTATTCCCATTCTTGGTCAGAGTATTCACTGTCTGACCCTTGCTGTGCCAGGCCACAGGTTCCTTCTTCAGGGTCAAGGGAAATGATCTCAGTCTTCCTGGATCTGGGAGATCACTGGTTACTTTCTTGTGGTTTTACACCAGCTACATTAACAACTTTCTTATATGTCTTCTTCTTGGCAGGGGTCTTTCCTCGCAATTCATGTACAAGTGCTTCCAACTTAAAAGGTGGGTTGACCATCCCACTTCCTCATGTCCTTCCCCTGTCGCGTAGGAAGAACCAAAGTTCGCCACGTGTCATGCGCCTTGGCTTCCCTTTCCCCCTGACTGGGACAGAAGAGAAATGATTTCTTGGGGAGCTCCTAACATCCAGGGCACTCGCCTGTAGAGATGAGAAGGTACCAAGACTCTCTTCAAAGTTCTGAAGCCAGGAAGAGACTGCCTCCACAGTTGGCGTACATCTTAGTCCTCCTCCTGCATCCATTTCTGGGTAGTGCATTGCGGCCAAGCCGGCAGAATACAAGGATGGCGCACCTTTAATCGCCTTCCTCCACATGGCCCATGTGCATAGGACATCCTCTGGATTTTTAGGGGCTTCATAATTATCTGGATCACCATAGATGACTTCCAGCACTGCTAATTCTCTCAGATACTGGACACTTTCATCTGCAGTAGTCCACTTCCCTGGGGTGTTGTTCGTAAGATCTTCCTTGAAAGGATACCTTGCTTTAACACTTGAAAGGAGCCGTCTCCACAGACTGCAAATTGCTGTCTCCATTCCAGTTCCCCTTTCAATTCCTCGATTTCTAGCAAGGAAACGGAGCTGTTGGTCTTCCTTACCTTCCAGTTGCTGAACATCTGCCCCATTATCCCAGCATCGCAGCAGCCAGGCAGTGATCTGCTCACCTGGCTGGCGGCAATAGTCTTTCCACAGATCTCGCAGTTCTGATGACGTCAGGGCCCGGGTAGTTTCTGCCTCCTGTTTCAGTTCTGTTATTCCCTCTTCCAGTACCTTTGCTGAAGGACCAGCTTCTTCCTTTTCTTTCTCCTCCCTTATTAATCGAGGGTATGGCCTGTTGTTCTCCTTATCCATTGTTTCTTATTTACTACTGGGGCAATCTCTGTTATTGTTGTTGTTATTGTTTGAGTTCCCATGTCAACCACAGTCCTTTGAGAGTGCTGAACTTCAGCTCGGTAAGCACAGGCCAGGCCCCAGTAAAGTGCTAGAAGTTGCTGGTTCTCATTGGGATAGGCAAGACACCCCTCTATCACATGGTGTGTCAGTTTTGTGGGGTTGTTTGCCTGTTCAGGGGTGAGATCCCAGGCTACAGGAGGTGATAACCATCTTAGGAATCTGCCCAATTCCTTCCACTCTCCCTGCCACCCAGGAATAGGCTGTCTCAGAGCACATTTTGGCACCGATTCACTCAAAATTTGTGTTCTTTTACACCAAAAGCATACCGAGTTCCACACAACCTACAACAGGCGAACATCATTAATAGAGAGTATCAAAGAGCTAATGTAAGGATGTAATGTAACCTCGGGAGCCTGCAAAATAAAACCACTCATGATGTTCCTGATTCCTTGCAGCATGTTTCGAGCTTAACAAAAATAAAGATAAGCAGTGCAATAAACAAACCCGTGACCAGCACAAGAGCTTGCTGCTTAATAACTACTGTAGCTACAGCACATTTAATGTAAAACTGACGTTGTTTGCCACATGTTGGGCACCAGAATAGACTGTGATGGTTTGACTCTGGCTAAATGCCAGGTATCCACCAAGTCGCTCTAGCACTCCCCCCGCCCTTTCCCCTTGTTTTCTCAATAGGGTAAAGAGGGGAGATAAGATAAACTAACCCTTGTGGGTGAAACAAAAGCAGTTTTAACATAAGCAAAGCGAAGCAAAAGTCCGTGCATGGAAGCAAAAGCAAACATATTCTCTACTTCCCATGGACAGGCGCTGTGGGGCCTTCTCAGGAAGCAGGGTTCCAATACGCAGTGTTTGCCTCGGAGGACCAAGGGTGACCCCACCCCCTTCCTCCTTTCTCCTAGCTTTATACTGAGCAGATGTCATAGGGTATGGAATGTCCCTTTGGTCGGGTTGGGTCAGCTGTCCTGGTTGTGTCCCCTCCCAAGATCTTACCCACCCCGTCCCCCTGGGGGAAATGTCAGAAAGATCCTTGGTGCTGTGTAAGCACTGCTCAGCAGCAGCCACAACACCAGGGTGCTACCAACACCCTGCCAGCTCCCAGCATAAAACACAGCACCGTCAGGGCTGCTATAGGGGAAAGCCAATTCCAGTTCAGCCAGACCCAGTACAATTCTAAATAACAATCCCCTTCCCCAAAGATTAAAACAAAAAAAGTTTTCACGTAAATTCTTGATGATATCCTAAAAGTGTAGTTCCCACAGAATTATACTACAGAAATGTCTCCAGTTGTCCAAAGCTCATTAAAAATAAAAAAAAAAATCTTTCTAATTAGAAATAATTTCAGAATAAAGATTGAGTTTCTCCTTCCATAGAAAGGACTCTCCGTGAAGAGCAATTGAAGAGATAATTTTTTAATCATCATAACCTGTAGAAGGTAATGCAAATGCGAGAATTTACTGTCCCTTAGCAAAGACCAAACAGAACTTTCAAATATGTTCTTCTGGGCCATGCCTTAACGTTAACCATAGATGGACAATCTGTTTGCCGTTGCAACATTTTTGTATGCTTTGCCATCATCTTACCACTGATCTGTTACATAAAACGCACTGCCTTGCATAAAACATTTGTCACAAGCAGTGCTCATGAAATACTCCTTATCTCCAGATCCACTCCGTCCCGTAAAGAGCACAGGATTTCTGAAGGCAACTGGAGTCAAATGTTTCTTTCACATACAGAAACTTGTCAGGCACAGAACTCTACTGCCTATTCCTTCTTTCCTCTTAATGTATGAGGTTGCATCAGGATAGCATCTGGTCAACAAATGGGATGTTGCAGGATTGACAGGAAATTCAAATAGGACCAGATTGTCCGGAGAGCGCTTGCTGAGGAAGATGACAGCAATGGACAAGAGTGGACACAGCAGCACTCTAAATGTAGCCCATGCTCTGAAATACCGTACATTTTTTTTTGCGTTTTCTTACTCATTTGCTAGCATGTGTTTACTCAGTCTTCAAATGAGGAGATGGGGATGGAAAACAAATAAATTGTTCTGTTAATATGAAGATTAAGAATTATGTTTCAGGTCCAGTGTATTTGTGGCAAGATTTTGTAAGGATCACATCAAAGCCAGATTGGCTTTGTTAACTTCCCTGTGTTCAAAATATAACAATCTTTTTTTGTTGACTTTTCTGCTCTATTTCTTTTGCTGTCAGAGCATAGTGGGTTTGTCTTTGTGAAAATGTTGAGTAGAAGCAATGTTAATATTTATTTTTTCTGCCTTGTGTCAGGGAGGAAATCAGAGTTAGAGGTAAATACTACCTATTACTACAAAACATAATATACTTTAACAGTTGTTTTGACAGCAGTATAGAATGAAGTCAGGTAAAAATGTAAAAATCTGTTTTCTACTAGTCATTTCTACTCATCTCTGTTAAATTCAGTTTTCCTGAGAATAGTGGATTTAATTTAAAAATAAAATGGAATGTACCTTGAAAACTTTGAATGCACTGCATTCTGTTTTACTTTGCTTTTTCTTTAACCTTGTGAGAACTCTTTGAAGGACTGCCACTGCTCTACTACAGATGAAAAATTGTAGCCATACCAGACATTGTCTTCTGTAACTTAGCTTTTAAGTCAGCTAGATTTGAGAGCAGGTTGTATGTCCCCTCCATGCTGCTTTCTGATTAAGTAATACAACTTCTGAGACTTCTTCAGTCACCTTTGGCTTCCTCAGAAATTCTATAAAGGGTCCCTGAGAAACATACTAGTTTTTCTATTACTTTATACAGGAAAAACAAATTCAATTAAAGGTTTCTTAAATTGCTTCAAGTTCACAATTAATGGATGAAAGCTATTGGAATTAAAATGCAATTATATATGTAAAAGGTCAAAATATATTTTAACATTTTCCTACAGAGAGATAACTTGTTTAAAGCACTGTTGATGTGACTATACCTACAGTCTGCATCTGCTTTTTTTTTGTTTGTTTTGGCTGTGTTCTCAATGGAGTCCATAGCACACAAGAAGCCCTCCACATGCCCAGTTTGATTTCAAGTACTTTATACCTCCTAGTTATTTTTTACATAATTTTGAAGCTAACTGTTTAAATATTATGTAAAATTATGTAGATTGAATATTCTAATAATACTTTAATTTCATTTCAGAGCAAAGCAGAAGAGATGATTTGGAAGCTTTAGGTCATATGTTTATGTATTTTCTCAGAGGAAGCCTTCCATGGCAAGGTTTAAAGGTAGTGGTGTTTATATCTCCCTCTATCCTGTTTTCAGATCATCAGCTTTTCCTGCCATGATGCTTCTCTTTTTGAAAGTTTGTCTGCAAGCTGTGTAACTTCAGAAGCTTGTTTTGTTCTTGTATCATAGGCTGATACATTGAAAGAACGTTATCAGAAAATTGGAGACACAAAACGAGCAACCCCAATAGAAGTATTGTGTGAAAACTTCCCAGGTAATATCTGCTGTTAATACAAATTTATATTGATTTAGAAATTATAACTGGCATAGATAATAGTTTAATTTTAAGTTTAAAAATAAATGAAATAGCGCTTCCAAATATGGGTATTATGTACTATAGTAATTATTATGGTAATAGATATAAGAATTATTCTTTGAAGAAGCAGTAAACCAGTGCTGGTGTTCTTCAAAGATAGATTCTTCTGAAGGAAACAAAAAATTATTATACAGACTTTTACAGTGATCAACTAGTCTACACTTGGATCTTCACACATAAAATTTTACAAGCCGTTTCAGCTCATACCTGATATCATACATCTTTTTGAACAAACTTCATTAGGAACATCTTGAAAAAATACTTGCAAGTAGCTTCAGGTATCACTTCTAGTTTTTAAGTGCACAGAGAATCAGTAAAGTATTGGAAAATTGGAGAGAAGCAAATATAACAATTTTTAAAAGCTGAACTAATCAGCTTAGGACAGGGGACATACACATATGGCATGGGCACAATTTTGCCAGAAAAAAGTAAACACCTTGGCAAATGATCACAGTACCATTGATGGGCAAATCTGAGACTAGCTCATGACAAACTGATTTGATTTCCTCTTAAGAAAGAAAATTCTGTCCACAACAGGCCTTGTGGACAGGAGGCATATGTTTTACGTCATGAAATCTTTGTACTTTTGCTTTTGATGCTCTTCTTAAATATCCTCAGAAGTAACCTTAAAAGCATGATCAAGAGGAATCTACTATGGGAAGAAGAGTTTAAACCAGTTTAAAATAGTTAAGTACATTGCAACAATTTCAAATGTTAAACATTTGGCAACAATCTGAAACATGTTGAAACATGAAATGATATTTCACAGGTATCTATGCTGGATCTGTTCAGTATTTCTGAGTGCCCTATATAATTGAGAATGTTTATTAAACTTGAAAATTATAAATTTGTAATTTGTAGGCTCAGCAGTGGGGTTAGAGTGAAGGGTTCCTTAAAGATTACAAATACAGTCTTAAAATGCAAGGTACAGTTCAATAAATCATATTCAAGGTAGTATATGAAGATAGGGTCAAATCCAAATTAAGAATTACTGAGTATGAAAAGGTTCCTTGGGTAGTGACTCAGTCACAAAATAAATGCAAGTTAAGTGTCATGCTGCTGTATTTTTAAAAACAAAAGACCTCTATACTGAATTAGATTGTATAAACAGGATATAGTCTGTAAAATGGATGAATTGCCTTTTACTCTCGGTTTTCTGAAGCCTCAGCTTAAGCAGCATGTTCAGTTTGGGGGACTGTACTTCAGGAAAATGTATCCTGTTTTAAGAGTATCTCATAAAGAAGTGGGTGTGCTTGTGTGCTGTATTAGCTCCACCTATCACCAAACTGAAGGAATTAAGATTGTTTTAATCAAGATTGTGAGGGAAAGAAGTTCTGCTGTACCTTTTGGCTGCTACAAACATGAAAGTAATGAGTTTGCCACATCTACATCAGCTAGGGTGAAGTATTGCACGTAATCCAAATCAATGAAATTGGACTTCAACACCTGTTTTTCAATATAGTGAAGAGCATGAGAGGATTGCCATTGCCAGGGATACTATGGAGCTTCTTTCATGGGAGTTGTGTGAAAATAAACCAGACAGACAAGGCTGTAACTGATTTGCTGTGGGATAGGGGAGTGCTTTGTATGGCCTTTTGAATTTCTTTCCAACCCTGTGGTAAAAATTAGTCCATTATCAATTTTTCTTACACTTTTCACTTCACTTCACTTTCTTCTGTGTATTAAAAAAAGTACAAAGTGAAGTTGATTTCTGTTACAGAACTTAGAGTAAATGCTTGAACATGTGTTTAGTGAGTTGCCAGGGTTTGAATGTGGGGGAAAAAAACCTGTTCTGGCATCTTCTGCATCCAGTAATGCAAGCATGTCTTGCATGTTAATTTTTATGTAGTTGATAGACTTCTTTAAACCTCTAATTTCAGGTGTATATGGTGCAATTCCTGGAAATAATTATGCATGAGTATATACATCTAGTTGACTGTTTCCTCCAAATTTAGTGAAGTACATGCTTGTTGACAGGACTGGATCTGAAAATGGAGCAGGGAAAAGATACATGAACTTGGAGAACACAAAAAATAAACTTCTTTGATAGTACATATGTACATTTCAGAATAAATGCATTCTTGTACACGGAATTTTTTTTCATGTCAAATGTCCAAGGTTTTTCTACCTTTTTCTGTCCTCCTTGTCACTTAAGACATGGAATAAGTACACCAGCTGTCATTTCAATTCTTTTCTGTCAGCCTGCAGACTAGTTTAGCTGCTTGATATTCTGTAAGGCAAGAGAACTCTGTAGTATCTCTGAAAGATTTGTCACATGTGAAATACTTACCTCTTTCATCTGCTGTTCTATGTAACTGTACTGTCTTTGAGTGTACTGCTGTTTCAAGCCTTGTATAAAATATGAGCAAAGGTTTAATATCTGGAGTTTCTCCTTCAAATGCATGGTAAGGATGTATTTGAATTTTGGAGTCAGTCAGTTGTAGCAGATTCAGCTGCATTAAATGGCTCAGTTCCAGGCTTCATAACTCTAAAGACATGCCTTATATGCTTTGATCTCCAGTTTACATTGGGAAGTATGGTTAAAGAGGTCCCTAGCAATGTTGCAACATTTCTCCTTCTTCAGACACTGATCTTGGCTAGTATTGCTGAAGAGTCTTGCTTGTCTGTTGAGCTGGACCTTAGGTGCCAAGGAATTCCTCCTGTGGCATTCTTGACAGCACTAACATGACACTGCCTCACAATTTTGTTATCAAACTGGTCTCAAACCTTCTCTACTGTCTTTCTACCCCACTATCTTTGAAAGAGTCTGACTTGGCACACGTCAATCTTAGCACTGCCTGTGCACTTCTCAGCCACCCTCTGTCAGAAGATAGACTTCTTGCATAAAGATAAAATGTCAGATTCTCCAGACTAAGTGGAATGTGATGTGTGGGTCAGGTTGAGTGTACAAGTAATACTGTTCTGTTTGACGCTGATACTGTTCTTTTGCTTCCTCTTCATAGGATCAGTGAGTGCTGGTGGCATCTATTTTTAACTTTTTCTTCTGACTTTCTGGCCTTATAGAGGTGTCTTCTCTTGTACTTTGGGGCCTTTTTGGTTTGAGACTGGGCAGCGTCCCAATCCAGTGTCAGGGAAGGTTTCGATATAATCCCAAGAGTAAGATTAAGACACAAACAAGGTGAAGTACTGTATACCTAAACCAGGTTTTTATAATTGAAAAAAAAAAAAAAAAAAAAAGTGAAGTAGTGGTAGAACAGAATGGAAGGAAAAGGCAGAAATAAAGCAAGGATGTGGGATAGGGCTGCAAGAATGGTCACAACCATGGATCCAGCAGCGTCCCGTTGGTCCTGTCTTCAGTTCTTTGGTGGTGGGTGCATACGGATCTGGCTTCGATGGTGGGCGTGCTGAGCAAAATTTTCTGATGCCTTTTTAAGTTCATCCCACTGATTAGCCTATCTGCTCAGCTTCAGCTTTTTTTTCTCTGGTCCCACAGGTTTTGTTGCATCTGGCTTCAGGTCAGGAAGGTTTGCCCCTTGTCAGTTCATTAGCAGTGCATGAACGGGGTCTGGCCTACACTATGGAGCCACAAACGGCTCCAGGATGGGGCCAGCTCAGTCCATGTCTGCCCCTTTGAGCCTTGTCTAAAGAGTCCAGACAGTGCAGCTGCAAAGAAGTGTGGGGGTGCCTCCTTCAATACACTCCCGCTTCTCTGGGCAGCATCCCCTAGAGCAATTCACATGCTGTTTGTTCCTTACAGTTACTGTCTCAAAAGCCTTTTGTGTTTTAATCCCATTATCAAGAATGGGACTTCTGTATGCTCTACTCACCTGCCAAGAGGTTTATGCTGGAACTCTTGTCTTAACTAGAATACCCTGGCTTCATACCCTTTAATGGCTAGGAATGCTCTTTCCTTTTAACTGTACAGATATAGGCCCTTTCAGAAATCTGTGGTTCTTTTCACCACAGGGAGAATCATAACTTCTATGTAACACCTACTCTAACGAATTGCCATTTGTGTGCTGACATGGTATTTAAACAGTGATATTAAACTGCCACTGGTCAGAAGTCAGTGTTTTGTTCAGGATATTTGCCACTTTGGCTCAGTACTTTCACATAACATGATGACTGAAACATTCAGCACTGTTGCAGCATTCCACAGTCATATTATAGTCCAGCTCAACAGAGCCTACACCTAGTGGTTTTTGTCAGGACAATTGGAGTTGCCCACTTTAGAGCATGTGTGTGGATCTCCTTTTAAAGGAAGGTTACATTCCAGTAACAGGTGGTCTTTGCGATATAGTCTACACTGTACATTCATATACCCACTTATTTTCCTTAGGCTTTTCTTTGTACAATTAATTGACAAAAAAACCCCACAACTGAAAAGTAGAGGCATTTCTCTTCTGCTTTTTTTTGTCACACTGTGCACCAGAGTTGTGAGGCTGAATGGAAGATCTTGACAGATAATGCAAAGGGAAAATGAAATATGGCAGTATATCTTGAATATTATTACTATTAAGTAACCTTTCTGGTAATTCACAGATTCATGGTGAACAAATGTTCAGGTTTTATGGTGAGAGGTAGAGGTTGCTTTAAAATGTAGTAAGTACTGGTTTTTGAGTGCCATTAAAACAGTTATGGCAATTATGTACATTTCTTCTTTATGTAGAGGAAATGGCAACATACCTACGTTATGTAAGAAGTCTAGATTTTTTTGAAAAGCCGGACTATGACTACTTAAAAAACCTCTTCACAGACTTACTTGTTCAGAAAGACTATGTGTTTGATTATGAATATGACTGGATTGGCAAACAGTTGGTGAGTACAGTTAAGCTATTAGTAATATACTGTTTTCTTTGTGTGATCAGTTTTGAGCCAGTGTTAGTCTTGAATTTCAGTCTTGTGGCTGCTACTAGTTATGAACAGCTGCTTTTACAAACTTTTCAGATGCATTTTCAAACATCTTTTGGCTTGAGATTTTTCATATTGAATCTCTTTCCAAACATGTACTCTTAATATCAGAGTAAATCTCTGTTCAAAACAAGGATGTAGGAATTCAGACTGGTTGAGGTTTGAAGACTTTCTGTTGAAGAAATTTAAAAACTTTGGAGCTGATTGTCATAATTGCATGTAATTTCTTGCTTTGGAGACTTTCTTGCTCCCAGTATTTTTAAAATGTAGAGCAACCACTTCTGCATCTGAGGTGTACTCCAGATATTTATTAGTTCATTGTGAATAAATTGTCTATATATGCACTGTTCTAATGAAATATGATATAGAACATCAGTTTCCATTGCAGTGCATCTAAAGTTACAGAAAATACTGTGTTTATATCCTTTAAAGAAAGGGTAAAAGATTAATTTTTCAGCACCTCAAATTTTTCCTTGCTGCTTCTTAATAAGTAAGGAAGAGATCGTGTGTGTATGTTGATCAACTTCGGTTTATGTCTGGAAGAATCGTAGTATTTCATTACTAAAACTTCTTTCAGTGTTTACTGTTAAACATTACTTTAAGCCTTTCTTCAGGCTTTTATCAGAATGTCCTAACTGTTAACTGCTGAAAATACCAGCCTAAAGTCTTTCAGCAAATCAATGTCTGATAATATACAGAATTGCTACTTCATGAAATTATGTGAGTGTTGGTTTGCCTTTCCTTCTCTTTGGTATTAGTAAATACGTAGTGAAGCTTTTGCTTGAATTTGTTAATTCTGGGTTATGGGAAACTGTCAGATTTAAAGACTAATTGGTATTACAAACCAGTAACTTTTTGTAAGACTTAGAAATTTATTTTTTTACCAGTTGCTACATATTATTTATATTTGTAGCCTACTCCAGTGGGTTCAGTACACTCAGACCCTGCACTGTCTTCAAGCAGAGAAGCATATCAGCACAGAGATAAAATACAACAATCCAAAAATCAGGTAAACTGCTCATGCAAGATTATCAGCATTACTTTGTCTTTTGTCTAATGATTTGTGCTATGTTGTTGCCTTTATTAGAACTCCAAAATAAAACTCACTCCAGGTTTTCTTTGTTTTTTCTTTGATTTAAGGTCCTTGTTAATATATTTCTGTATCTATAAACACTAAAGGTTGCTTGTCTGATGCTATAACATAGCTTACATTAGTAGTGATTTTTTTTTTCTCTGCTGATGATACTTCAAGTTTTTTTTAGTTCTGTTTTTAATTCTCTGTTCCCTCATAAGCTATATCATCTAATACGTTTCTAACATGTATGCATAACATTTTCATTTGTGTTGGTTTTTTTTTTGTTGTTTTTTTTTTTTAAATTGACGTAATGACCAAGGTGGTAAAAGCACTAGGAATTTAGATTTGTGTCCACTTACCTAAGCTAAGTTATAGGGTAGTGTTGGGCTTTGTTTCTTAATAGGAATTTAGAGTTTTAAGGACTTCTCTATGAAAATGTATGTGTAGGCATATGTAAGTATGCAGATAATGTACAGTCTGTGTGTACATAGTACTTATTGCTTCTGTGCTTTTAAAAAATAATATGTAATTAATACATGAATTGTTTATTTTTGAATTCCTTTTCTTTTGCATATATTTCTAATGCATTCAAAACCGATAGCCAACAGACCATAGGGCAGCTTGGGACTCACAGCAAACTAATCCACATCATTTGAGGGCTCACCTAGCAGCTGACAAACATGGTGGCTCAGTACAGGTATTTTTTGCTTCTTTCTATAACTTAGTCAAATTGCATTATATAGTACTAGTTGCTTATAGTGCATGCCATGGTTCCTGTTTTCATATTAAGATCACTTTTCAGTAATGTTCAGAATGTTCCTATTATTGCCTACTTCATAATTGCCAAACAGAAATTAAGAACAAGTGCAGGAACATATGGATCTTTTTGTATGTGGAATTTCTGCTACACGTTCCTGAGTGAAACCAATGGAACTCTTTCCCTTTTTGAAGGAATATCCACTTACTTCAGTGAAAGCAACTGAAGTTTAGACATTTGATGTGTTAGTTTTATTAGCAACTAAAGCACTGACTGAATTCAGTCATGTTTTTTGTTCCTTAAGCAAACTTCAAATGGAAGTGTTAAAGGTTAATCAAAACTCATTACTTACTACTTTTGTTCAAATAACAATTGACTAGAAGAATGTTTCCCAGGTCAGTACTTATCAGTGGAAAGATGAGTAAAAACCCAAAAATATTTCTTCTATTAATAGTTTATTTCATCTTGAAAGAGCTTTTTTTCCTGATCTGGTCTTAATTTTACTTTTTGTGCCTTACTCTTTGAATAAGTTTAGGGACGATGGATTGTAGAACACATAAGGAAATCTAAGTTTTATGTGGAGGAATGGAAAATGTCAGATGCAAAGTCTGTATGAACTTCTGAGCTTTCAGTCTGAAATTAATTTAGCTTTGTAAAGTGTTATCTGGGGGAAAAAAAAATCTTTGCTGCTTTTTTGATTATGGTAATCTAAGTTACATGTATTTCTTCTGAAGTTTTGTTTTGGAATAAATTTGTCAGTGCCTGAAGAAAGATGTCCAGGGTAAAGAAAACAATGCTGTAGACTCACCAGTGTGATAATTCAGTATATTTTTTTTAAATACTGCAAAACTTAATTCAGACTAACATTCTCTAGAGTTTGCTGCTTTATAAATACTGTCATGTCATGTAAGAAAAGTTGGTAGATTATAACTACCACTGTGCATCAAGAGTTTAAAAATTGTTCAGTGTTTCCCATTAACAATTATTTTTAAAAAAAACTTTGTTGTAAATTTAACTTGAATTGAAATAGTTCTCTCCACATCAGTTTTAAAGGTAGTAATTTATCTTTTGAGAACAGTATAGTAATGTGAAATCAAAATTCTGTCTTCCAAAATTATTACATTTTGTAATATTTTGAATTTTATTTCTTAGGTTAGAAAGATGCATATTTCACATGTTAAATTCCAGTTAGTAGAACTTTGAAATTATGTATCATATTACTCTTTCCAGAAACCTTTTACACTTTCTCATATAAAATGTAAAATCAAAAGAGATATGATGCATTGTAATACATTAAATACCTTCAGGTGCCCGGAGAACATTTTCTATGAAATGCCAGTAGTATTCCTTTCTGTTAATACACTGTAACTTTATTTCTCAAAGAATATGGGCATTCTGAGTTCAGAACACTTAAATCACTCAAGACTAAGCAGTTGCCATGTAAAAAGAACAGTGTGCACAACTGCAAGTCTTTGAAGATCAAGTGTTGAGCAGAAGCCAGCTTAATTGGGTTGCTTTTCAATGTTGAGTGTTCATGCTTTCTTATTAAAGACACTTATAAAACACGTAATATTTTCAGTTTTGTCTTGAAGTCTGAGCCCTGGACTGTTGTGAAATATCCCTTTGTTATGATACAAACTGAACCATGTTATTAAGTTGGATGATTAGCTAGCTAATCTGGATTCCTAGCTGTCCCCAAGAAGACAAGTGCCGCAGATAATTGTTTAAAAGGATAGTTGAGTCTGAGGTATGAAATTAAAGTGTATTTATGTTTTTGTGACATTAATAATTCATTGTTCATCTTTGAAATCAATTTAATGCTGAATTAACTGTTTTTCTGCAAGTTATGAAAATCGGGCAGATTATTTAAACATGACAATACAGTGTTTTTTTAGGTCACTGCTATTAGTTATCTGTAATACTACTGCTGATGTTTTCTTTGAGATTCTTTTGTGAAAGATTATTAAAATGTGTTAGAGATTCTTCACTGTGACAATAAATTCAAGCAGACTGAATGTTGCTCTGTGTGTACATGTATGTTAGAGTACATTATGTGCTTTTAGAGGTATTCAAGTAGGAAATATACAGGTTCTAAATGATTTGTTCATTAATAGTAATCATTCTTGGGTTTGTATTTTCACAGGCTCTCTAGACCTCTCAAAGATATACTTATGTACTTAATCATGTCTAATTTTACTTTTTAGCATCAGTTTATGTTTAAACAAATACTATTAGCAAAATGAGTTTTAAAGAGAAGACTTAGAAATAGTTTGCATGACTTTTTTCCTTATCTCTATATAGAATAAGCTAAAAACACTGTTGTATGGCACACTGTCTTTCTAGTTTGTGTATCCTTATTAATGAGAGCAACTTGTACCTCCCAGCAGTTCATTCAGCAGCTTCCTGTGACTTTATTTTTGTTTGCCTCAGCTCCCAGAAATGCCAGTTCTGCATGAACTGCGAACTGCTTGTGCATTGATCAAGACTGTACTAACCTGTTATTTTTTCATCACTTATAACTAGTCTTCCTCTTTCTCTTTCTGTTTTTACATTTGAAAATTCTTAATTTAAAAGTAGTATAGATTAAAAATTCAGATTAAAAACTTCCCAGTGAAGTGCCACAGGTCTTGAAAGGTCCTTAGGAACAGCTTGAAAGATTAGCTATTTGATGTAAGCAGTTTCGAGTTGCTAGTCACCTCTCTTTCAAGAAGTTGAGATAGCAGTGTATTAGATGAAGCAAATCAATTTCCTTAAGATTTTATAAATGAAAAGATAGCGTCAATCTTCTTCATTTGTCTTAACAGGAACCTTTTTGAGGGTAAAATACATGCTGTGGTATCACTAAGGAACTGCTAAGGCATGAAGTCTGGCTTTATGTTTTTGAAAAGTGGAGAATTCAGTTACTGAGATCAGTAATGAAGTGAAGGATTATTTTCCATGTCTTTTTTCAAATTTTTGCAGTACCTTATTGTGATTATAAGCATGAAAATCAGCAAATTGTTTTGAGACACTTTCTGACTCATTTTTGAACATAGCAAGTTAAAGACTAGTTTACATATAAACCAAAGCATGGGGCTAGCCTGAAAATTAACTGTTACCGTTTTGAGAATTGGTATGCAGGCTTAACTTTGTCTTATTGGCCCTTATCAAGCTTCTAAAGGACCATATATCTAAACCAAATCTGTTCCACAGTTAATGTCTCATTATTAGGTAGTGGGTCTAGTACTTTTAAGTTTGTTTGCCTTAGAGGGTAGCAAGAAACAGCCAATGTGATGCATATGCTTCTTTATATGTGTGCTTTTCAAATTGAACTTTTGAAGAACTGGTTAATTTTGAAGGAACTAAATATAAACCAGTATAAGATCTGTTTTCAAAACCCTTAAAGTTGTTACAGATTTTCAGTTTAGCAGTTAATGTTCCATTTGTGTATAAGTGAGTAGCTTAAGTTAATCTTTGACATTGCAACACTTCTAATTTGAAACCTAGTTTAAAGTACTCCTTTTCAGAAATATAATTCTGTCACTGTTCATGGAAAAATGTCCATGTACTTCCTTTTTACAGAATTTTTATGTGCAAAGAAATAAGTCAGTAACCCATTTTTTTCCACTACTACTGTATAGAAATCTGCTAAGAGTTTAATTGTTCATCTCATCTTTCATCAGATTACTGACTGTTAACAGTGCTTCATTTACTCTGCATTATCAGTCTTGTACCAAATGCACTTTTTCAGTCAGGTTGCAAAATATTTTACTGATGTCACAGGGAATTAACTTCTGGCATTAGTTTGTTCAGCAATGTACAGAATTTATGATTGTAAGATCATACAGTTGTAGCCTTACTACTAATGGAATTGAAGCACTGCTGTCTCTCTTGTGCTCCTTTGAGTCTTAGGTTTTTTTAAAGGTAAATATTTTGCTGTTTCAGGTGTGTTAATTCTTGGTTCTTCAGCTTACTGAGACTGTTCCTAGAGCTGTTTTCAGCAGTACTAGGCTAGAGTGAAACTTAGCATTTGTGATTTTAGAGAAGCATGACTGATGCTGTGTTTCTGACTATCAATACCCTTTGGTTCACTTAAGCTTTCAGAGGTCACAAGTCCTTCTGAAAAGATGAACATTGTTTTCCTCCCATCTAAACTAAGCGATGCAACAGGGAATTACACTTGATCGTATTTGGTGGATGTGTCTAGTGAATGTATATGGGAAGGACTGAGGTCTCGTTCTCTATCTCATTTATAGAGACCAACCAGAGTGAGGCAGGAGGGTCTTCTGCTATCTACAAAGCTTGTGTCAAAGTTATTTAGAGAAAACAGCCATCTTCAACTAATAAAAAAACACCTTAGGACAAATGCTGTCTTGAAAAGAAAGAGTTCTACCACAAAGTGAAGCCACTGTCAAGAAATGCTATTCGTTTAAGACAGTTTGATGAATTTCAAGAAAAGGTTCACAAAACAGGTTGTTATAGCTTCTTTGATTAAAGCATATAAATGTGTTGGGAAACCTTGAAATTTGTAAATTTGTTCTTTGTTATCATATGGCAGTGCATTGACCCAAGCAGAAAATTACTATTACTCCTTTAAAGGTGAAGTCATCTTAGATTAGTATGACTTCAACTGTGATTTAAAAAAAAAACCCAAAACTAAACAAAACCAAGCCAAACAAAAACGCAAACCTTTTACAAACCAAGAGGTTTTTTGTTTCTGAGTTGCTCAAATCTTGAGCATGCTCTTTTAACAATTGCCAGAAGAGTTTCCAAAGCGAGCAGAAGAGAGTGTTGCCAAGGACTGATAGGAACCATCCATGAAGCTTGAACCAGAGTAGCAAAAATTTTTTTGCTGATCTATCTGACTCTCCAGAATAGACTACTTCTAGTAATAACAGAAGAGCAGACTATAAAAAGATACTTAGATACAGTTTTGTTCCTGTCAAAATGTTTTTACTTTC